CGCATCTATATTGCCGTGATCCGTTCGATCTTTTTATATGGTTCTGAGACATGGCCAATGAGAGTGGAGAATATTAAGAAGTTATCTGCGTTTGACCACTCTAAGGTATATTTTACGGGTTCGCCGAGTGGATAAAATCTCACAAGATCGCATCCGCCTTCGTTCAAATACCACTTGCATAAATAATGTTATCGCAGAGCGTCGTCTTCGGTGGTTAGGGCATGTTCTCCGTAGTCCACCACAAGAGTTGTCGCACATTTCGTTACTTGCTAAACCATGTGATGGATGACGTCAAAATCGAGGTGGGACAATCAAGACCTGGAATGATACGGTCAGAAAAAGGTGTTGAACATATAGAACATATGGACCAGCAATATATGGACTTAGACGATGGAAAAAGGAATGGTTTCTATTACCGTCGTCGATGGCATCAGACCGCGTCGTTTGGAAGTGCCTTACCCTTGTAGCCGTTGGAGCCAGCCTAACCAGTAATGATGAGAGCTGTTAGAAGAAGAAGTGTGTTACTATAAGCCAGCGTATTGTCTTTCGTAAATTTTTAGACAAAAATCTTTTCTAAAGTTTTACCGATGTTTTTCATATTACAGTGGAAATATAACAATAAAAAAATGAAAAATAAATAAAAAAATTTTGAGAAAGAAAGAGTATTAAAATTACTTTGTTATTTAGCATAACAAAAACTTAATTTAATTTACATAGAGAAGAGACACAAAGAAGTAGTTTTGGACTTTTTGAGCAATTAATTGGACCACATAAAGGTGAATCGTCCTCTGAATTCCGTTTAACTCGCCGTCCAAGCGGCCAGTATTCTCCTCAATTGCATTCCTTTATTTAGAAGAACGTCTTACCAATGTAAATTAAAAAAAGTTAAGAGAAAGGAGCGTTCTGTCTAAAACCAGTCACCACCTCTGGTTTGGTTAATTCCACTAAAACTGTGATAAGCTAGACAAGAAGTAATAACAAGAAGTGTTTCGAGAGAAGACGAAGTTCGATTCAAAAAAATATTTTTTATTTGATATTTCCATATTCTAAAAAATATTCTTTATCTGTCTTTCATCGATACTTATAGAATTATTTCATATATTATTATCAAATAATGTAATCTTTGGTGTATAGAAAACATATTTGTGAGTTTTTTCTTGTTCATTGTGTTGCGAGCTGCACTACGTTATTGTTGTCAAAATTGGCTTGAACTCAAGCAGCGCTGGTCCAAATTTTGTCCGCTGAAGGGAATAAATCTACTTAATTTAAATTGGCGTGGTACCATAATCGGCCTAACCGACTTATTCACGCCATTTGGCGAAGAATGAAACAATAAATATATTATTTTGCTATAAATATGAAAAATGAAAGGACTCGGTGCAGATTTGTAGATGTACATATCTTCAATCGATTCTTATTTGAAGACCAATGCCACTTATAAAAAAGTGAACATTTTAAAATGACATGAGTATAACGGAAAGCGACTCGGTTGTAGATTCGACCCTCGGTCTTTATATGTTACAGTATATCACCAAACATTTTGCGAGTCAAGTTGAAAATCTTATTTTAAATTTGCTTGGTAATAAAATTTGCTTTTCAATTTTCAAATTCACAAATCTGGCCAAATACAAGCAATTCAGCAAAATATATAACGCTCGTAAACCATATGGAAAACATAACTACAGATAATCATTGTATGAGTGATATTCTTTACTATTCTCGTTCGATTTAAATCGAAGAAATAGGATGCTTTAGTTAGGCGGATTTAATGAATCTTAATAAAATTTAAAAATCATTTATATAGTTAATAAATAAATATATATACATATGAGTAGAGTGGAATAGGATGGCTTAGTGGGTTGTTGCTCAATTTAGAGCGATGGTGCCAAGGTTCTATCACCCCAGGTTTTGAACCTGCTCAAAAATCCGGATGATGGTGATGATACACCTGTATTTCTATTGCCAAGAGACTCTCTTGCACATTTGTCCAGCACGATAAACTAGTGGAGCGAGTTTTACCAGTTACCAGAGTCTTACCAGATGAGGGCTCTTAAAAAAAAATCCAAAATAGTGTAGTTGATAACGAGGGATGATCGACATGAAATAATAACGGCAATATTTTGGTTCGAATCGCAGCCAAATCCTCTACCTTTCCAGTGGGGTCTTTAGGTATAATTCTCTTACTTATAACTCTCTTAATGCCTTTACCTACCTTACCTCGAATATGAGAGTACCGCATACTAGAGTTATACCAGCTCGGACGTGCATTAACAAGGCCGCGTCAAATGGCTGTGGGACCAAGACTATCTGATGACAAATGGGTTACGTAACAGTGCCAGGTGTTGTGGGGTAGTCTGGTGTCAGGTTTTGTGGAACAAATCCTACATGGACGAAAGAAGGTAATTTGGAATTGACGGAACATTATTATAATGAAAGATCTAATGAAAACTGATGTATGAAATGTGTGAAGGAACTGTCTGGTAATGCTGGCATCTTATTTCCATTTCTATCGCCAAGGGGCATATTAGTCCAATGTAACAACCCAGTGGAGCGAGTTTAACCATTGATGGTGAAAAATTTAAAAAAAAAAAAAAATGAAGGAAGTGTTAATGGAGAAAAGATTTACAATTAAGAAACAGAAATAGTGGCTCAGCACTTGAACATAAGAAAAAAGCTTCTCTCAGCTGGCGATGTGTCAATTCTGCGTTACACCTCAGATTCAGAATGAAGAAAGAAAGAAAAAGAAAGAAAAGATGGGCACATAACAAGTTGTGAAGCTGGAAAATGTCTCCCAAGGTTCTCATTGTAAAGCAGAGCAGTTGACATGAGGCAGAAAATCATGAATAAAATGACTGTAATTAACCATCGAAACCCACTATCGAGGATCAGTGAAGCAACACCAGATAATATATTTGAAGATGGAATCCTCGCAACAATCATTCCCACTACAACAGAAATTAACGAATTGGTGCACAACCTTAATTCTGGAAATGCTGGGATATAAAATGAAGAATGCGTTTCACCCTTGCAAAAGGAGGCTAGAAATACGATCAAAGCACAAAACAAAAAAGTTAGCCAGCTGAAAGAATAACAAAAAGAATAAAGAATGAAGGTGAGAAGAATAAAAATAGTGTCCGGATGTTGGCGAAATACAAAGGCTATATTCCATCAAAAGCCCTCGAGATTGTTAAACGAAGACTGGGTTACTAGAGAAGCAAGGACTAAAAAGATAAATACTCTTTCATCCAAAGAGCCATCCAAGGTGTACTAGCAAGGATCGCCCAGAGCAGGAACCGGCTATCATCACAGTTACTGACACCAACAGCGACTCAAAAATATGGAAAGTTTGGAAAATGAGCAGCGCTTGGCTCGGACGTGATTCATACCTATTGGTTAAAAAAGCTAACGACAGATGAACTAGCTGCTTACGGCAGGCTCTCACTCAGACTAATTAACATAAGGAAGGATGATATAGATCATGAAAGACCCTCATAAGGAAATAATACCGTCCAACTCTATGGGTCAATAATCTGCCTCTCGGCAATGTGGAAAGACATACAGACATCATCATAACCAACAATCTTCATGTCCAAATGAGTCAGTATATTTCAAAATGGCATTGAGAATAACACCAGAGATTCCACTAACTGTTCATAGATAAGGCAGTCGCTTAAAATTCAAAATCCAGGCAGTCCAATCTGTGAACAGCTTGGAATGACTATACGAAAGCCTATGATACCTACATATGGATGTGAGAGTCTGGTACAAAGTGAACAGGACCCTAAAGACATTTATTTAAAATTCAATGGGGCTGTGGACAATGACACTTGAAATCAACTCAAAACACCTTGCACAAGAGATTATCGAATGTATCAAGATTAGGTTATCAAGATTAGGTTATTGTCTCCCCATATTCTGCATAAGTCTAACTCTTTCAGTTAGATAATCAAGAAAAACGTATATGGATAAAAATTCAAGAGCGGAACTATCACCTTCCCTACATGGATAACATCATGTTATATGGAGAAAATTAACGAGGCATTTACTCGCTTATTCACCTAATAGGAATTTACAGAACAATTTCATTCGCATTGGAGAAATATGGCCGGATGGTACTAGAGGGAAAGTAGTAATGACTATCATAAACGTATATGGATAAAAATTCAAGAGCGGAACTATCATTAGTCACCTTCTCTACATGGACAAGTTATATGGAGAAAATTAACGAGACATTTACTCGCTTATTTACCTAATAGGAATTTACAGAACACGTGGATTTCATTCGGATTGGAGAAGTATGGCCGGATGGTATTAAAGAGAGGGAAAGTAATAATGACTGACGGGGTGGACTTACGGGACTTGATGAGTAGGAAAGCCGCTAAGTTGAAAGAAAGTCAAAGCAAACTCAGAAATAAATATATCAGCAAGTAACAACATACACTGAAAGGCATAACCAAGTAGCTGGCATCATCTATCTACTGCTCGATATACGGATTAGATCATCCTAAGACTAAATGGGAGATTCCTTAGGAAATTGAAGAGAATAATAAGGCGAAGATCCAGTAGATTTCACCATACAAACAAACAAACAAAGTATTGGCCAACCAAGCAGATATAACCAACGCTAATAGATAAGAACCAGAAATCAGTACTGATGATAAATCAGTACTGATAGTAATATCAAGTAACAGAAACGCCAGGAACGCCAGGAAGAAGGAATATAAGAAATCAGAGAAAAACCAGTGGAAATAGAGATGTGGAGAGAGAAAGCCTAGAAAAATGCCTCTAGCAGATTGCAGGAACAACACCGGAGATCTCTATCCAAAAAACACTATTAGAAATAGCTAAGATACTGGTAATAAGTGCAAAACTCTCAACCTCCCAAGCCTCTAGCGGAAGACCCGAGGATAATCATTACCACCCACACGAGGTGAAGCTTTTTTTTGTTAGAAGCTTTAAATCTATATATAGAATAATAATTAAAAATTATCCTTTAAATATTAAAAAATATTAAACGTAAACTTCAATCTCAAAGGATATAGCGCAAGATAAAATAATGAAAAATAATCATTAATACCCTCAGGAGGAAATGAATGTGTGCAAAAATACATTGCTCTAAATTGAAATTCTTTTCCAGTGTCCCATAATGTCCCCCTAAAAGAATACAAAATAATTAAATTACAAGGCGAATTATTGCTAAATTATGATATTTAATTTATTAATGAATAAACAAATGAAGAAAATTTTTGCAATTCAAACTATCTATCAAACGATCGCCAATTTTCACTAATGGTTTTGTCAATAAAATATATTCAAAATTTTAGTAAAGGAAGTTGAAGATTTCGAAATGGCTCAATATAAAAAGCACAGGAAATAAATTTTTGAAACTCTTTTTCTTGAAATAAACAGGTCTACAAGCATACAGGTATATGAACTTTATTTCCGCAGATATACGGCATAACTTGAATTTTCTGAAGTAGACTGCATAAGAACAAATATTTTTCCACTGAAAAATTCTTTAAAGTTACTTTTTTATTAAAAAACCTGAAGATCTAAAAAAAAAGCACTGATTATTTAGATTATTTCTAGCACAATGTGAATCCTAAGTAAAAAAACATAATTAAAACATATTTTCACACAAGCTCCCAGCCAAAATTATCTCCACGATGTTCAACTTCATGCAAATCGACCACTTTTTCGACGATTGATTGATTCAACCATAACTTTTTTAACTGCGCATAATGTTCTAAGTTTAATCGCAATGGCAAACCACGCCTGCAACTTAGATTAATTAGAAATCTGAAGCTTTTTTTGCTTTATTCAAGATTTTTCATAATTATGCCTTCATAATAAAAAATCTGGCATAAAAAATGTAAACGTTCTGGGCAAACGAATCAAGTGGATGCTGCGTTTCAAAATAGAAATGATATTCACGCGGAAAACTGTTATTCAGATGTGCAACAAAAGAAATTGAATTTCAAAAACCTGAAATATGAATGAAATTACCTGAAACCGAAATCTGTTTCACCATATTCATCAACATATGGAGCATTCAAGTAAGCACCTCTCAAACTGGCTAACAACAGGATGACTTGGCAGTCTCGAATTCTAAAAAAAGTAGTGGTAAAAAGTTTTGATAAACAAATAATCAGCGAAAAATATGAGAAAGATAAAAAATTTTCAGAAAATTTATATATTTTAACTTTGTCCCATTGCATATATATTTCATATATTTCTTAATGTAAACGAGGATTTAGTGCCATACGCCAGAAAAATAAATATAAAAGAAATAATAGCAAAATAAAATTCGAAAATTTTTGAACAAAAATTATTTAAGCGAAAAAAATTGATATATCAAAATCAAATTCAGCTATTTTTATTATTTTTATACACAATATTACAGTATAACAAGTAATAGTGCAAAGATATCTTATTTGAACCATTGTATCATCTGACCTATGTATGAATTACTTACCTTAAGTAAATGCCACCAGACGGCCCTGAACAGCGTAATAGATGATAATTACAAGCACCATAGGTTGACTGATTTACCTGTTTAATAATATGATCATAATAACCAGATATAAGGGATTTGAATTTAAACTGATTTAGACTGATGAATGATCAAATAAATTTCATTCCAAACTTCAAATCTTTATCAAGGCACTACTACTATTAATAGTTCTCCAAGGATAAAACAAGTTGTAAGGAAATATATGGGTAATCTAAGATTAACTAATTTATTTCCAAAACTGGGAAGATTTTCGAAGTATTCAGTTGCTGACCTTACTGGTATTCAGTTACTTAAATATAAATATAAAAAAAAAATTCTTGAAGAGAATAATCACAGAAAAAATGTGAACTTTTGATCAAATCTGTATCGTATGATAATTTTTTGGTTTACGTTTATTTGCAATTTTCAAGGAAAGATAACAAACATACTGTTCGTTGGCAGCAATAACTTTGCGAACAAAGTAGTTCTCCACATATTAGGCAAAGTGTTGGAGCTGCTGAACCATGGTCTCGTTGCAAAGAAGATGGACACCTATAAAAAGCATGTATTTACTCAAACCTGCTAACCAATTGCAGTATACTCTTTTTATATCTTTTCATATCCTTTTTAAGATAAAATGAATAATTTTCGTTTAACAAGGAAAAAAAAAAACAATTATCAGCGATAAAGTGCAAATTAATTCTAACCTAAAACCAGCAGCTTTATTTATTAAGACAGAAAATTCGTGGGGTAGATCAATTAGAGAGTTCACTTGAATCGGTTGATGCGTTAGTTTCACGAATGGTATGTGCTTCTGATTTTGTGACCACCTGCCAAAAATAAAAATTGACAAATAATGCAACCAGTGAGAAGAAAAATTATGCGGAAAAGCATATTCAGTCTGCAAAAATTAGAAAATTTACTGCTTAAAACATTTTTCAACGGTAGCTCCAGCTAAGAAATCATAAAGAGAAGGTGAAAATCCCATATAACGACACAACGGTTCAAATTCGTGAATTGAAGGATCTAAACTGATTTCTTAGCAAATAAGCAAAATAAGTAAAGAAAAAATAAGAGATATTTATAATAACAAATATTTTCACAAAAAGTGAAATTCCAGCGACTCTAAAGTTGAAATCCATGTACATTAATGAAAAATCCAATAAACTGGAAGTAAACGATTTAAAGAATGTTACGGATAGCATATAACCTTTTAATGCTTCTGGTGGCGGAACAAGCGTAAGTGAATGATACAAAAGAGCAAGTGGACGCAAAAATTCAACGACAGCTGATTTTAGGGCCTGAAAAAATATTTAATCGAACAAAAAAAAATGCAGATTGATTTTGAATTTGTCCACAAGAATAAAATTGCATTCAAATACTTTAAAAACAAAATGTTAGAAAAAAATTAATAACCTCAAACAAAAGCCCTATACAAATAATGGTTCGATTTGGGTAAATCACTGAATAAAGATATGAAATAAGTTCCCTTGAGCGTTGGTCGCAGTCATTTTGCTGTTGTTTTGAGTTCGATAATATTAATTCACCGGCGTTATCAAATGATGCGAAGACCTTGACAAAATAAAAAAGTAATAAATATAGAACCAAAGAAAAAATAAGAAAAACAGATGTTTTAAGATATTTACAAAAAATCAATTGACCTGAAAAAGAAATCCAATAAGAGCTAAACGAACACAATAGTGTTCATCCAAACAGCCATCAGGTACAACAAAAAATTTTCCACTTCCGTTTTCGGACTGTTTATACCAACTCCATCCAGAGCACATTGCAAGCTCAATCTTTAAAAAAAATAAAACAATAGGGAGGGGAGAACAAAACGGTGGCAAATCAGTAAAATTCTCGGAAAAAATAACATTCACTTTCCGTTGCAAATCCAAACCTTTAAAAAAAGCCTGGCTTTTTTGTGGTTTTGTTTTTTCACTGAAATTTTGTGGTTTTGTTTTTTTCACTGAAATTTTGAAAAGACTTACTGCTAATGACAACATATCTATCGCAGATATATTGCTCATATTAAAAGATCTAGTTGCATCGCCATCCTGAAAACCAATGGACCAAACTTAAAGCTTAGAAAAATTCAACCTTATAAAACAGCCTTTTTTGCTTAAGGACTCTTTTATAGTTAAGACTTACACTATAGATAATTTACACTATAGATCTGTTGCACTTGCATAAGAAATTTAAAGGGTTATCTAAAGATAAATAAAGATAAATAAGATCTAAAGACAAAAATAAGGTTTTTTTTCTAAAATATTTATCTCTTTTTTCATTGCAGTAAGAGGCCTCTCGGAGGCCTTTAAGGGTCCTCCAATTTTACTTTGAGAAAATGGGTTATAGACCAAAGTATAGATATAGTATTTATTTCATTTTCCTTGTGAAAATTTTATGCTTAAAGATCAAGCTGAAAAATTAACCTTCTTGCCAATAATCATAAGGAAATTGAATGAAAAAACAATCGACAAAAAAGGTTAATAAATACCAGAGTACTTGCAGAAGATAATTTCTGTTCGTTTGACTGCTCCAAGATTGGACTTTTTAATAAGGAAAATTCAGATTTCAATGGAACATAACCGCACGAATGAAAGTCAAATAAAAGTGGAGCCATAAGATTGCTGAATATATGGCATAATTTCTCTGGATGTAAACGAAATGCAGATACAGCAGAAACTCGAGATACATAATATAAACTTTCGCGCTATAATAGAAATTTATGCAAATAGCTGAATTATCAAAAAATTTAACCATAAACACATTTTGAGATGTAACTTAAAAAGCAGACATCCAAATCTGTACAATCTATTCAACCTATCCAGAAAATTGCATGTTGGCATATCTTAGCATATAATTTACGCATTTTTTGAAAAAAAATTAAAAAAATAATGAAGAAAAAATAAAATAAAAAAGAACCTAGAGTAATAAAAAGTTAAATTAACCGAGGAGCAACATGCAAATTTAAACAAAACCATCATAAAAGATACTTGTCGAGTCGTAAAAGCCCCAAAAAGGGGTTTATTTTCATGACGAAGAACAGCACAAATCGAGCGGAGGGTATATGAAACCATCTGCCAGGACAAAATCACTTCAGTTAGTCCAGTAATATATGGTAGTTTCTTTGGATTAGAAACGGCACGCTAAAACAGCATTATTATTTCAAATAATCTAATGTAAAAAAGACATCGAAACCATCTCTTTAAACTTCTTCCTCAATTCTTTACTCTTTATTTAGGTATCTTAGAGGAGCAATCATTTTAAATAGAGAAAAAATAATAGAAAAATAAATAAAAAATTATTAAACAAAATAAATAAAAGAAATTCGAAAAAAAAATAGATAAAAATCTATGCAAATGTTCAGTTTCTCAAAAATCAGAAAAACTTACTTCTCCAACAGTATTTAAAAATGATTTAACCATCTGCCATGAATGAGAAGTAAACGTTGGAGGCAAGCTGGAAAAAATTAAAAGCAAAAATGCTCGAAAATATATAGAAATATAAAAAAATATAAAGTATAAAGATGAAAAAAATAAACGAATATATCGATAATATATAATCGGTACAAAAAAACTGAGGAAACAGAAATCAAAATAATATTTATGAAATTAGGTTAGAAAAAGGTTATTTGAGTCATTTACCGATGTTATTTATGACCAGCAGTAAAATAATAGTTAGCTGCTAACTTTTCGTCATCAATTTTGCTCTTTTGTTGTACAATGTCCATAAGTTTTTGAACAACACTAGGCAACAATGAAAACTGGCGACTAATGGCTGCTTGGTGGTGAAGTTCCAGAGTTTCATGAGCATCGATATCCATTAGAACTTCTTGGTTCATACGATCACCTATTATTGAATAAGGTTATATAAAAGTGAAAAGTACAATCTAACCGAAATAATTTTTCCTACTTCATCGAAAGCTAAATTTTCTCCCACATTTGAATGGATAAACCTAATCTAATGGATGAACCTAATGGACTTAAAACTCGAAATTCAAAAAAAAAACAAAGAGAGAAAAAGCAAAAATTGAATAAAGGAAAGTAAAATGACGAAAGCTGACGATGATTTTCAACAAAAACGAACTCATACGTGAATTAGTTAATGATGATGTGGATTTAATATTACGCGAAATTTCCTTAGGCAAATCGTTCAAAGATTTTTCAGAATGTGACCTAAAATTGACTGTTTTAACAAAAATATGAAATGCACCTTTATGATGATGAAAAATGTGCAAACACAGACCTCTTTCTACTATGACCTTTCTTAACCGCTGGTATCCAACAGTCAAAGGAATCTTTTACCATACTACTAACCCATTCTTCAAAACTTGGTGAATCTTTACGAAAAGTACCGAATCTAAAGCATATAAATAAATATAATCGCAAAAATGCAAAAAATTTTGTAGAGTGAGCAAAATTTTAATATCTATCCCTGAATCATATATGAAATTTTGAATAAAATTTGATTAAAAAGAAGAGGTTCCTCTTATATATTTAACTTATATATTTATCTTATATATTTATTTTTTCTTTTTATCAATAATAATAGCAATATGAACATTTTTACTCTTTCATGTTTCCAATTTTGTGATCTCAGTAGTCAGAAAAAAACCTATCAGAAAACTGAAACTGAAAACAGTTGTGGATTGGAGATCTACCCTTCTATCTCTAAGAGATTTTACGAAGCGTTTGAATAGGTTGGCAAGGCGTACGGGTTCCTCAATGTGTAAGATACCAGCTCGGCAACATACATGTGCAATAAGTACACAAACCTGGCTTGGTAAAATAATTCCATAGTTTAAAAATAGAAGATCTCGTATATTCATTAGCAGAGATACTAGTTGTATCAATCACGACATTCATCACATCAGATAAGCTGGGATGAAATGATCCATGTCCAAAAGAGGCCCAATCCGCTCTGATTGCTGAGTCGACCTATGCTCGCCTCAAAAGGAATTGCAATACTTTGGTTATCAGCGTATGCTCCTACTTTATACGCGCATGACCAAAACAAAGATAAGTTCTAAGCATAACTTCAAACGCTGACAACATCCCTCTCGAAATATGACAAGATCAAAGTAGAGATTGACGTACGTGTGCAGATCACGATGTTATCTCATTAAGTTCTGAAACTGGCAAAAAAAATACGTTGTGGTCTGATACACCAATGGATAGAGCCTTCACTTTACCAAGGATCACCGACTTTTTGCTATCAATAAATGCTTCTAGTATCCAAAAAAACAATGGTCAAACTGTCCGAAAAGGCTACACAGCAGAGTAGATCGTGGCTACCAAACGTTTCAAGGCATACAACAATAGCACTTATGGGGACAATAGGAAATTATTCTGCCTTCTTAATAAAGCAAACATAATAAGAAAAGAGATGAATAATGATCTGAAACAACAATGGTAAGCCTATCAGAGATAGTGGAACATATGGTGGGAGATACCTGTTCTTCAAAAAAGCCAATAAAGATCGAAAACCAGAGACGCTCTTGCAATCTTCAAATTCAAAGTTGCCAAAGGTCTTTCACAACTTATTTTCAATGGATATATTATAGTATGGAAAAAAAACTAAATACAGATGACTGGAACAAAATAATTCTCAATATCCAAATAGGGTGATGGAAAGTACTGAAGAAATGAAGAATTAGTCTACTATTTGTGGAAAATCTACATTTTCTTTCTGGCGAACAGATTATGCCAAAACAGACTTACTGAGAGCTGAATGTGCGCTAACCAAGCTGGATTTGGAGAGAAACGCAGAGCTTAATTCACGCTAAAAAGAATGCAGGAATATCGCTTCGAATATCAACAACCCACTATCGGCAATCCCTTGTGATTTTGCCATTCGTTTCAATTAAAAAGGAGGTGCTCGAAGGTAATTAAATACGCCATTCTAGAGATGAACATTATACTCATAAAAGCATTTCATTTTATATCAACACAGATTTATGTGGGGAAACTGATAAGACCAAACAAATAAAAATTGATGCACGTTAGGATTGCGCCTTTTCTTCTATAATATTCAAGCGATAATCGGACCGGATTATCGATAACCACTATTTGCCAACATTCAAGATACGATATAAGTCAATTCAAAAATATCAGGTTTTGAATATGGCGTAGTCTTTTTTAAAAAGACTTCAAACTTAGAATATCTCTTAATAGATCCAGTCTTGCATCAAATAGCCAATCGAAAGACGAAATTGTTTGGATAGCAGGAGCTAGAAATGCATTCTTCATTTGAAATTCGAAATCTCTGTGGAAACGCCATCATCTAAAGGATTATATGGCTTATGTGCTTATAAGAATTAGGAGATATGTCTGGCTATAGTGCGTACCATCGAGTTATATACCTCAGGGGTAATAATATTTGATGATATCAAGACAAAAGAAGACCTAATTTATATAGACAGAAAAGATTCTGAAAGTATAGAAGGTCCAGTGATATGAAGTCTTAAAAAGTGAAAAAAGTGGTTAATTTATGCATGGTCTAATTTGATCAAACAATAACTTCGAAAGGTCCTATTCTTGGAACCATCTTAACCGCTGATGGCAGCTGTTAGAGCAAAAGGAAAAAATTGTTTCGTTCCATTTCTAATCCACAATTTACAATTTATTTACAATTTTTAATAACAAAAAAAAATTAGGAACGAAAATGTAATACAATGTAATACATGTAATGAATGTAATGTAATGTAACAAATGTAAATGTAGTATGCAATACAAGAAATTAATTCCGAGTTAATATATCAATCAAATCAATTAAGTAAATCAATTAATGCAGTTTACTTGTTGAGTATTTTCATTCATTATTAGATAATTGCTTCCCAGAATATAATAGGAAAAATTACCTAAAGGCCTTTTGCAACAAAGAAGGTACTGGAAAAACCGGCATTGCAGTATTACAAATACGTTTACAGAGTGGGCAAAGATATTCGCCAGATAAAATATTGAAAACGCGTTGTGTAGGACGAGAACGTTCCCGATTTTTATACAGTTCAGAAAAACTAGAAAAAAAAAACGGTAAAAGATTATTGCAAGTATTTTAAAATTCTATAAAATTTTAAAAAAATTTAAAAAAACCATCTCAAATTTATAATTTATCTCAAATTTCAAACTTATAAATTTGTTTATTTATTTATAAAATTATCAATATATCAAATAAAAATAGCTAAAATGA